AATAATTCTAAAAGGTACATGGAGGCCGAAAGACATCAACTCCAAGGTAGTGCATTAGCAGTACTAAATACCCGAAAGTGTTTTAGCCAGGGCCCAACTGGATCCCCACGTTAGGGGGTAGCTGAAGTTTGGGGGCATCCATCGCCCACGCGTACAAGATGGACTGTTTGCTGCCCTCCCCACACACGGGGGCGTGTTTGTATTGGTCGGAGGGGGGTGAGGAGGAGGCTTGTAATGACGTCATATCACCGCATTCCCTAAGTAGTAGTATTGTTGAAAATGTTGTGAGGTACTTTGGGCTTATCATCTTTGGTTTTTCTTACTCTACCGGGATTCATTCATTCATTTAGTCATTTATTCCTCACTCATTTATTCACTTTTATTAGTGCATCTAATCAGCCATCTGCTTGCATTCATTTACTCACTCACTCACCCAATCACTCACTCACTCACCAGGCATCATCATCACTACCAGGCACTTCACAGCCATACAATAGGATGTGATGTACCACGGGCATCTTGGCCTTGGGTTCGAAACCCACTGTGGGACGGAAAATTTTATTTTTAATTTTTTCTGGCAAATAAATTTTTATATATTTTTTCTCATTTATTGACATAATTTTGTTTTAATAACAACAATAATAATAGTAATAATAATAGTAATAGTAATAATAATAATAATAAAATAATAATAATAGTAATGATGACTATGATGATGACGATAATGAAAATGACGATGGTAATGATATAATTAATACGGGTTGGGGGGGGGGGCAAACTACGCCCTGCAGGTTCGCCTAAAAAAGGTCGTCACCCAGACATTATGACCAAAAAAAGGAGCCAAAAATCTTGAAAAATTCTCCCCCGGGTCAAAAGAGTTTGCTATTTAAGTACATGTGCGGCCCTTCAATGGTAAAATAGTTCTCAATGCGACCCTCACTGCAAAAAGTTTACCCACCCCTGATATAATATCATTCATTCAATTATATTAATTAATCTTTTATAATAATTATTTGTTGATTTTCTCACAAATAAAGTTTTTTCCTCCGGA